AACTGGACAAATGAAGTTTCTACTAGTGGTAACAGATTACTTCACCAAGTGGGTAGAAGCTGAATCCCTTGCAAAAAATTCGGGATGTTGATGTGAAGAACTTCATATGGAAGAACATCATCACCAGGTTTGGGATCCCAAGGGCAATAATAGTAGACAATGGTACACAGTTTGACAGTAAGCTAATCAAGGGCTTCTGTGCAAAGTACAAAATCAAGAATTATTACTCTACTCTAAGCTTTCCTTAAGATAATGGTCAAGCAGAAGCCTCTAATAAGGTTATCCTGGATGGGATCAAGAAGAGGTTGGAAGCAACAAAGGGAAAGTGGGTAGAAAAGTTGCCCAATGTACTCAGGGCATATCGGACTATGCTGAGAAGATCAACTAGGGAGTCTCAATTTGCCATGGCTTATGGCACAAAAGCAGTTATTCCACTGGAGGTCGACATCCCAGGGATCAGAACCCAGGGAGTAAAAAATGGGACCAATGAGGCATTCTTGGCCCGAGATCTGGATCTGCTAGAAGAAAGAAGGGAGAAAGCAACAATTTAACTGGGGGGCATACTAGCAGCAACTTGCCAAGGCTTATAATAAGAAGGTTAACCCACGAGAGTTTCAAGTTGGTGACCTCGTCCTGAGAAAGGTTGTCGGTAACAAGAAGGATCCTAGAGAGGGCAAGCTTGGCCCAAATTGGGAGGGACCCTATAGAATCATCTCGGTCTTGGGCAATGGGGCATATCGGCTTGAAGACAGTGAAGGCAAAGAGTTGCCAAGACCCTAGAATACTTACAATCTGAAGTTTTTCTATCATTAGATTTTCTTATTTTTTAAGTTTCTTGTTATTAGCCGAAGTAATAATAAAGTCTTAGCTTGATTTTTAAACTTGTGTAGTATGACTGACCAGTCACTTGGCGATATTTCTGATTGAAACATGACGAATAACTTAGACTTATTATATGGCAGAGTTGAATTATACTTGCATATAATAGAGTTGAACTAAATTGGCGATGTTTCTGATTGAAACATGACGAATAACTTAGACTTATTATATGACAGAGTTGAGTTATACTTGCATATAATAGAGTTAAACTAAGTTGACGATGTTTCTGATTGAAACATGACGAATAACTTAGACTTATTATATGGCAGAATTGAATTATACTTGCATATAATAGAGTTGAACTAAGTTGGCGATGTTTTTGATTGAAACATGACGAATGACTTAGACTAATTATATGGCAGAGAAGAAATTATACTTGTATATAATGGAGTTAAACCAAGTTAGATTAATCCAGACTTGCCATATCGGCAGAGTCAAACATAGATTGAAATAACAGAGAAACCAAGGTTAGTAACCTCGGCCAGTCTTTGTTTGAATATGACCTCGACGACGAGGTCAAGGCACATGCTTAATGAAAACCCAAGTGGAACTTAAGTTCACATTAGGGGGTAGAGGGCAGGAGAATGATGCTTGGAAGTTGGAATTTTCAAGGAAAGATTGGTTTAAAAACTTGTTGAAATTTTGAGAAAAATTTACAAGTTGAAGTTAAGCCGAGGTTATGTTAAAGAAAGATTGGTTTAACACTTGTTGAAATTTTTAAGAAAAGTTTACAAGTTAAGCCAATGTTGTATTGAAAGAAGTACCTACGTACTTGCCGAGATTACCACTTTGCCAAGACTTGGAAAATATTGGAAGAGGTGTGCAAGGGGTTACAACAAATTTGCCTCCAGGATACAATGAAACCTGATCTAAAGATGAAGTCTATCAGCGTCTGCATTGACGACAATAGATCAGAACACTCTTTATATAATCAAGAAACCAAGACACTGATAATCAAATCTGCAGAACTTGATTATCAATAAGAAAAACAAAAATTTGCTTAAGAAACTCTTGATCGAAAATTCAAAATCAAGAGGAAGAGAGAGAGAGAGAGAGAGTGCTTTTTTGGATTTTGAATGGTATGAAATGGCTGATTTCGTAGCCTATTTATAGGCCTTGATGGATCTGATCGAATGGTCATTTCCCTTGATCGCATCCGATCATATCTGATCGTTGGATCGACGATCTATGGTGCAGATCATTTTGACACCGAACAGATGCCTTAACTGATCACACCTGGTCACGATCGCGCGTATCTCCAATCAACGGCTATGATCAACCTACTCCAGATCAGACATACAACCGTTTGATCGGTTGGTTAACTCATCGCCAATGGACGACACGTCACTGCCACGTGGAGCTAACTGTATTCCACGTCACCCATGCCACGTTGGATCCACGTCATCGTTCCAACCTGTTCGATGCAAATAGGAAAGCACCCTCATGGCGCTGGTGCTAAGTGCAAAGTGCACCATCAAACGGCATACAGCCCACGCCACGCGCGCGCTTGTGCATGTACGGATGGTGTGAAGCACTATCCTTGCGATGTGGGTGCATGCACACTTGCTTTCATCCCACAATTTCATATTCAAAGGAATATTTCATGTAGCACTATATTAAGTGCTCCATGTTTTCCTTTCTTTCCGATGTGGGACAAAGTCCCCAAGCTTAATTAATGCTTTCTAAAGAAAAATAAGGAAGGTTTTGAAAACACCTAAAAAACTAAACTATAAGTTTTAAAAACCATTTTGAAAATTCCCCAACAACTGATCATTATAAAAGCAGGCACCTCCGTGGGACTAAAGCATGCTTTTATTTGAGATGCTTTGACTTGTGCATTGAGTACTTATATGATATTTTTGAGAGATAAGTTAACTGACTTGATCATCGGAGTGCCTTCGGATAAACGAGCCATCACGGTATTCTTATATTCTTGTTGGTAGGTGATTGACTTAATTTATCCTATCACGTTCTCTCTAACTAAATTTTCTATTTGATTGTGTGGTCGGAAATGACCACTTCCAAGAAATTATGACAAACAATCCCAGTAACGAAGGTCCTCTATGCAAGGGGTGGGTGGGTCAACTGCTAGATCAATTTTTGTAAACAATACTCTTTCTATGCATGGCCTCTTTGTTCTCCAACATGGTTATCTATCTTGTATTTTTGATTAACATGAAATAGCAATACATCTTAATAGCATTGTTATTGAAGACTAAAAATTAGATATAATTTTTAAGTTCAGTGATGTGATAATTGATTATAATATTAAAGACAATACTCTCTCTTATATATTCTCTAATCATCAACTAATCATATCACTTACACATCACTGGATTTAGAAAATGAGTTTAAAAAATAGATTTGTATATCATTTTCTTATATCTTAATAATCTAATAAAGGCGAGTTAATATATTTTCATAACTACTGTATAATTGTCCATACACAAATTGTAAGTGGAGTTGGATTTGCTAAGCAACTTTGGTAATTTTTTAACACATGTAACTTGTAATCTAATTATATATATCTATATTTATTATACTAAGGCAATTCTGTTGTATTTCGTAATTTATTTTTGAATATAGTTAAACAGTTTCAACAACTACCATGAATAGTCAAAATTTTGAAATAAATCACGTAGATCTTGTTTTTTTGTGTGATTATTCACTTGATCTTGTGTTGGGATTTCAAGATTCTAATAACTTGCTGACAATGTATATAATGAAATAATCCAATTGTTAATGTTGATCATATCTAGTTGTGTTGTTGCTTAAACACCAAACTAAAGCTATTCCTTTCTTGTTGCTTTGGTATGCATCTCTTTAAATTTTTTTCATTTTTTTATTTATTGCGAGGTCTTTTCAAGGTGGGCATTGATTGTTCTTTTGCTTTTAATTTAGAGTAATGATTGAAATCCCTATCCCCACAAGACTCTCATAAGATCTCCACAAATCTGAACTATTCAAGATGTAGATCCTACACATATATAAATGAGTCACATACATATATAGAGAGCTAAGATTACTTTAAAAATATGGGAATCATTCTCAAAGAGAGTCTCAAACATTTTCCTTCAATTTAAATCAAACTAATATTTGTCTTGTAGTAACTCTATCTCATGTTTGTTGGAATGTTCTTCCTAGGCCTGTCAACGGGTCGGATCCGGATCGGATATATCAAAATCCGATCCGATCCGATTAACCATTAATCCGAATCCGAATCCGATTATTAAAAACCTGACTACTAACAACCCGATCCGATCCGTGTTAAACGGATATCCGATCCGTATAATCCGATCCAATTCGTTTTTTTTTGCTCTCTCTCTCTCTCTCTCTCTCTCTCTTTGTGATTAGCAGCCTTAGCCACTACCAGTGGTGGTTTTGAAGAACTTGGCATTGGACTGTGAAATCAGAGACCCATAAAAGTAGATTGAACATGAAACATGAAAGTAGCTGACATTTGATATAAGCCAACATATTGCACACAAGGAAAAATTGAAATTATGGACATCCTGTTTCCATCTGTTTGTGCTATGACTCTGTGAAGCACACTCTCGTATTTGCCATTGGTGATTACCCATGTGTAGAAAATGAATGTATGAAAGTCCACTACACATGCATAAATCCCAACAACAAAATGTAAGCAAATTATGCATTTTGTCATCAAATAGAAAAATGAACATGAAAGTAGCTGCAGATTTGATAAACTTGGAAATCTTCCTGAGCCAACATATTGCACACAAGGAAAAATTGAAATTAAAATGAAGGGTTTCCCAAGAAGAACCATCACTACAGCATTTTCCAAGGTAATTGAGAGGACTCAATAATAGACAAAACCACAACCTATGAAACCGAATTAACTGTCACAGAATCATTAAAGCTTCAATTGTTGATTCCAATGATTCAACCTGCATAGAGAATCAATGTAAAGAAATTGAAGAAAAAAAAATCAAAAACAGAAGTATGTTTTTGTATATTGAATGCATCCACAAAGTAAGCAATAGAAGAATTGAAAGGTTTAAACACAAATGAAAAACAATATACAAACAATTGAAACCTCCCTGGCCACAAAGTTCATAGTCTAGTCTCAATAGTTCATTCCAACGTATACCAAGCAAGTGAAAGTTTCAATATTACACCAATGCTATAAATATTACCAATCCAAAACAAAATTGTTTTTTGGTTTACCATTCAAAATTGTACTAAGACAATCAAGCATTAATCATAATTGTTTACACTCCCACATATCTCATTTCTCATTTGCTTGAAGAGAATGAAAATCGTGTCAGATATTAATAACAGGAACATTGTCAACTCTGATTTATCCATGGATATTCAGATTGAGTTACAGAACAAACAATTTGAGAAGTATAATCTCAGTGGTTGTTGCTATCTAAATTAGAAGAAAAATGAAAGAACTAAGGTTTTCATCTTATCTCCAAGTATCCAACCCATTCAAGATCTAACCATCCTTCTTGCTCTTAGAATCTGCTTGCCCTTTGCTCTGTTCTGCCAAAGTGAATTTCTTCACTTTCTGTAGATGTAAGAGAAAAGGAAACAAAATCAAGTGAACTTATCCCCTTTATACCATTTCCAAAGTGCATGTACCACAATGACAAAACCCAAATTGTAAAAGGCAGAGATGAGAAATATACTGACCTATATGTGACAGTGACAAGGCTGCAGCTTAAGATAACTTCTCTTAACAGAAAACAAAAGTTCAGTTTAAGATAACAAAAAACAAAAGACAAAAGTTCAGCTTAAGATAACATAAAACAAAAGTTGAAAAGCAAAACCCACATACAGAACACATTAAGATATTTATAGAAATAAAAGTTCAATCCATCTACTCATGTCAGCATTCTTCTACATCTGCAATTTCAAAATAATGTGACATTAAGATATTTATAGAACTAAACTAAACATCTAATTATTTAAAAATTTCAATATTTCACTTACTTCTATTTTTGGTTGATTCAATCCAATCATTGCAAGTGATCAAGGCCTCCACAATATCTGGAAGTAATGAAGCACGTGTCTCATCAATCACCCTACCTCCTACACTAAACGCCGCCTCTGATGCAACCGTAGTAGCAGGAACCTTAAAACATCACGAGCCATCCTTGCCAAAGTAGGAAATTTTGCTTTATTCACTTTCCACCAATGTAGAATATTGAAGCTCTCATTACTTTGAAACACCAACTCCTCCAAGTATTGCTCCACCTCTAATTTTTGATAGGCATGAATGTTAGAAACACGTTCTTGGGCATACCATGCATGAAAAGTAGCCAAACTTTCTTGTTTCGAAGAACCCACATGCAATTGACTACCACTTGAGCTACTATTTTCAGAAACAAGGGCAATGCAACTCATAGAATCAGAAGAATCACTCCTATACTCATAAAAAAGATCAACAAAACCATTACGGACCCTCTGAATATGCTTATTAGCATCAACACCATAAATAAGCCCAAAGTAGTATTCCACCAAGTCCATTTTAAATCTCGGATCAAGAACCACAGCAATTGCTAACACCAAAGAACATTCTTCCCAATATTTTTGAAATTTCACTCTCATTGGACCGGCCATCAATCGAATGCAATCATACACACTTTGCTTCCATTTTTTCATTTCAAGTTGAATAAGACAAATATCAGGAAAAAACACATTTGAAGTCGGAAAAGTGGTACCACTAAAGTGAGATGTAGCATCAAAAAAAATCTTCAAACACCCACAAATCACATTTGCTATATTCCACTCATCCTCAGAAAGATTGTGCTTATATTGTTTGTCAATTTGCCCTAAGCGGTGGAATGCACTTTTCAAATCTAATGCAGCTTCAAGCATTGAATAAGTGGAGTTCCATCTGGTAGGAACATCCATGGGGACTTTCTTTTTATGATGTAACTTAACATGATTCACTGCAATATCAAATTTTTGTTTTCCATAAGGAGACCTCCCTAAATATCTCACACTTTCTCGGATTTTTGAAATAAGACTCCCAATCACCTTCAAACCATCCTGAACAACTAAATTCAATATGTGCGCACTACAACGCACATGAAACAATTGTCTACCCAAATGTAGTCATCCTTGGTCATGTAGCCATCGCTTTAAGAGTCTCACCATGACATCATTACTCGTTGCATTATCGACTACCATTGAAAACAACTTCTTATCTATGTTTCACTCTAAAATTAGATCTTTGATAAAACTAAATAAATGGTCTTCATCATGCGGGTAATCAATGCGTCTATAAGCAAGGATTTTCTTCTTCAACTCCCAATCATTAGTCACATAATGAGCAGTCAAACCTGTATAGGCAAAATTCTGATGGTCTGAAGTCCATATATCAGTTGTCAAGGTGATCTTAGAAGAGAGTTCATCCAAAAATTGATATAACTTGGCCTTTTCTATTTCATAAACATCAAGGACATCCGCCCTAACAGTGTTACGAGAAACAAGTTTGAACATTGGTTGAAGATTATTACAAAATATTTCAAAAAATTCATGCTCGGCCATGTTAAAGGGATAATTGTGCTTGATTACCATCCTAGAAAAATCCATACGACTTCTCTCTTGATCGAATTTAAAATTTGCAACCTTAGGAGTAGATTCAGAAGCAGCCTTACTAGCATTCCTAGGGGCATTTGGCCCTTTAAGTACTGGACATGCCTTCGACAAATGATTTTTTAAATGACTAGTCCCTTTCCTACTCTCTCCAACAAATTCCCTATTGCAATGCTTACATCTAGCTATGTCATTTCCATTAGGTCCTTTAAATTTGACAAAGTCATCCCATACCTTTGAAGTTAGTTTTCGAATCCTCTTTGTGGGTCCTTGAGATACATCGTCATTCAACTCGGCATCATCAGCAGTAATAGGTTCGCTATAATCCGAAGACATCTTTGGCTCAAAAACTCAAATATGCACTGCATAAGAAATCAAACATAAAGGAGCAAGAGTTGGCAAGATAATTATGCAACGAACAGAACTGCAGACAAGCACAAAACAATGTGCACCAATTTGGAAATTATATAGATTTGTGTGCATGTGATCAATCTACTATAAAGGCATGTGGAATTCATTTAAAAGCAACAAAACTGATAAGCAGCTATCCCATTACTAAGTCTTTGCAGAGGATTGTAGTGAAAAGATAAGCAGACATGTTTGTGGATCGGGGGTTTTAATTAACTAAAACTTTGGCAAATTCAATGTATAATAATGCAAGTGTTGGCATGCATAAATAACATCATAAATTGTGGAAAAAAATATAACAATGCAATTAAAATATAGCAATGACAATCATAGTATAATGCACCAACCATAATAGATATATAATTAGTGGAAGATATATAAGATGGTGGAGTTCTAAAGATGCATGTACTACAAGGGAATTTAAACCAACATCCTATCATTGAGACCCACAATTTCCAAAACCTATGGACACCAGTCATCTTAATTCAATAATTTTACAGATACAAAATAATTAATAACAAAGATAGGCCAGACCCATGAATCTAACATAGAAGAGAAATTTCATAATGAAAGTATAGATTATAATACCAATTTTCATCGAGATAAAAAGTGAAAATTAAGATAAAAAATTATAAAGATAAACACATTTTCTTGTCTCCACATTGAGTTGAAAAATATAGCAACTGAAATCAATAATAGAATTAACATTCACTTTGTTCATGAAGGTTTCAATCAATCTAACCACAAACTTCTAGCAGTCCCATTTTGCAACCACCAACACATCAAAATCAATCTGTGCAACCTCCAAGCAAAAAGACCATACAATAACAATTGAAATGCTAATGTCAATTATCATCAAACAAAACAACCCAGAGTACCCATCAAATAACAAATATATAGAGTCCCAAAAACATCCAAGAAAATGTTTCACAGTTGATTTTCCATTCAAACAAACAACCCAGACCTCTTATATAAAGGAGAAACACAAGCACAAGGCAGTAAAAAGTAATGACAAACACAAACGGATCAGAGAGCTCACCGAAGAATACCTAGATCAGAGAAGTCGGAGAAGAAGATGATGAAAGATAGATTTGATATTGACCAGAGAGCTCACCGAAGAATACCTAGATCAGAAACGGCACCGAGCTCGATTTGGCTAAGTTCATCGTCGTCAATCGGAGTAGGAAGAGACGATTAGAGAGAGATTTGCTTATGAGAGAGATCTAGGTATTCTTTTATGCGAAATGATGAAAGAGACGATGAGAGAGATTTGATTCTGAGAGAACTGATTTGGTTTCTAGGAATTCAATCGGATTAGGCAAACAAATGGACCGGATCGGATTTATCCAAATCCGAACCGTTTTAAATCGGGCTACGCAGATTCGGATTAAATAGATTTTCGAATTCGGATATATATAAATGGATCGGGTTAATCGGATCGGATTCGGATCGGATTCGGGTTATACCCGATCTGCTGACAGGCCTAGTTCATCCCTTTTTTCAAGACTAATATGGCCTAATTAACTTTCTCCTTTCGGCGCTAAAGAGGACCACAATGGAATGCATATTATGCAATGAAAGATGGCTTTAGAATGATGTTTTCTTTATTTCTTCCAATTTAGTTGGACAACAAATATTATGTTCTAATTACAAATAAATATTGAGCGGAACAATGATATATTATTTTTTATCATGTCACTAATTGATAAAATATTATAAATAAAGTTACGAAAATATTTTTTGGCTCTCACTACTTTAACTGTATAGTTTATATTACAATAATATTTTACTAGTGAAAACTCGTGCTATGTATGGGATGGGATGTGAAAAAATTAATAAAATATGTTTATATAAAATAATATAGATAGTTAGATTTTTGTATGTAAATTATGAAAAAAAAAAAATGAAACTTACAATTTAAGTTTTATAATTTTTTCACAATTTATGTATCAATTTTTAATTTGTCACAACTTCAACCCCCTTTCTAAAGTTGTGAATTTGGGCGAGTTGAATCCAAATAACTCAAGTCAAGCCTGTAAAATTTTAAAGATTGTATAACATAATTTTTAATTCGGTGAGAATCTATGTAAAATTTAAAAATTCAAATAAATTTGAATGGATTTGGACAGAGACACCAAATAACCTGAGCAATCGAAACAAAATTGTATATATAAATATATAAAATCATTTGCTAATTTATTTTTTTAATAATAAATAAGATTAATTAAAATTTTAATATTAATGAACAAAAGCAAATACACCTTTTAGAAAGGGATCATTAAATAAGTTGATATTAAAAAAATTATATTTTATAATGGCATAAAACAATTTAAATATGATTTTTCAAAAATAATTTTTAATTTAAAAATTACAATAAAAAAGAAAGTGCCAGTCCAACCATAACCTCCAAATCCTCTTTACTTTGTAGACCACAACAAGAATGTCCAGGCATTGAATACGATATATTCAAAGAACTACCAACTAACTTACTCCACTTTGCACATAATTTATATACTAAATCCTTGAAATTAAATCCATCATTATACTTGATAACCAATGTCACACCTCTAAACTTGCATATAAGAAACAAACAATTCTCCATCACTATAAATCCTGCAACAAACAACAATTATATTTCAATAAACAACTCAAACACCCTAAAACAAAATCAAATACAGTGATAAAATTATCAACCAACTCAAACACATCTAAAAACCAACACTCATAACTTTAATAGTTAACACCACCAAAGACCAATAACAGTGAATAAGGCTTACACTTATTAGACTTGGTAACTCGATTTGAATCTTAAATTATGCAACCTTTTCATCTCCTATCCCATACTCACTCATAAATTTATCATTGTTGAGAAAGTTAATCTAACATCACCCCCAAAATACACAGTGATAAAATTATCACTGTATAAAATAACAAAGCAACACCTGTGTTCAATCAACACAATTTCGTAACCAAAAAAAATAAAAATCTAAAATTCAATCAACATATACATATCTCAAAACTTTCAATATCATGATCAAAACACAAATTCAATCGCAATAGAAACAACAGAATAACAACATTATCACCACAAAATCAAAATCACCAACTCAAACTAAAAAGAACCAAAACATTTAAATTGAAATCAAAATCAAACATACCAGTCGACCTAACTCCACAACATCGCAGATCAGAAAATGTAACTATACACCAAATGCGAAATCGCAAAGAGGAAGATTCACCAAGCACGCAATCGCAAATCCCAAATCGCGAAGATACACTAAGCACGAAATCAGAAAATCACGGAGCTCCACAATAATACAGTAGCAAATCGTGAAGTTCTACAGAAATCCAAATCACAAACAATATTTGATGGAAAATCCAAACAGAAACGCACCAAAACAGGGGAGGGGTAAAACGGTACCAAAAAAAAAAGGCTCAAGACCTGTTGATGTACAAGAGCAAAACTCAAGACTAAGAGGGGAATAAGTGTAAAAGGTAGGACCGACCAGTAAATATAAATATAAAAAATTTGAAAAAGTTTATGGGCCCAAACCTGGCCTGGTCCTATACCCAGGTCCTAGGGCCTTTTAGGGCTTAGGTACTTGGCTATGGTTGGGCTTTAAAATGGGCCAACTCTGACGGAGATAATTTTGGTGGAAGCCCAATTGATTTCTAACAAATATAGGCACAACTTGTCCAAACAACAACTATGTTTGGCTCTGGTTTTTAGAAAATAATTTTTAAAAAAATTTATTTTTTTATTTTTCGTATTTTAATATTTTCAATGAATTTTTTTAATATTTTAAGAAATTTGATTTAATTTTTAAACACACCTAACATAAATACACTTAAAAAATATAATATTTGTGAAAAGATCTTTAAAAAAATACACTAAAAACCAAAAAATACACAAAAAAAAGAAAAAGAAAAATTCAGTACATTTTTCTTATTTTTGTGTATTTATTAATTTTTTAAAATATTTTTTTACAAATATTTTACTATTTAGATACATCTAAGTAAGATGCATCAATAAAAGTTAAAAAATATTCACTAAAAATAAAAAAATACAAAAAATAAAAACTCAATTTTTAAAAAATTGAAATTAAACATACTGAATACATTAGTGTTAGTGTAACTTATCCTAATTAAATATTAGGAGAAATTGCCAAAAAAAAAATTAAAAAAAAAATTGACATTTGACTATTGTAACAGAATATATTCTAATATAATTTTTCTATCAAGTTTTATTTAACGAAAATATTGAGATGGTTTAGATAGAAAATAAAATAAAAATATTAGGATTTAAATGGACAAAGTTAAAACTTAAGATTTATTTTGTAATAAAGGTTAAATTATGGAGCTTTATTTGTAATTTTTCTTAAATATTATTATATATGTTAAAAAGTTAAAATCTATAAAAAGATGTTTACTTATGCGATGGATTAAAATAAAAGAAAATTTTTAAACATATATAATGGAAAATGTTTGGCTTTCCTTATATTGTCATCTCACCTTGACATTTTAAGACTCATTGAATAAAATATTTATACAAAAAATAAGATGATTGTATATCAATAATCATATTTGTTTGAAAAAAATAGAGAACAAACATAATTTTTTTTTTAAAAAGTCATTTATTTTTTGTAATATATATATAATTCAAACATATAATTATTAATATTCAATTATTTGATTTTTTACATGACTATTTTATTTTCAAATAATTAAAAGCCATCACAAAATAAACTTATTAAATTTAAGGGTAAATTACACTGACACCTCCTGAGATTTATATTTATAACAGTTTTCCCCTCACATTTTGAAAATTACATCTCCCCCCTGAGGTTTTAAAGTTTCATTATAGATTCCCTCCTCAACCCTTTTAATTTTTTTAAATACCAATTTTACCCTCATTGGGTAAATTACATTGACACCCCTCACATTTTAGAAATTACAATCTTCTCCCTAAGGTTTAAAGTAGCATTACCAATTGCCTCATCGGTTAGTATTAGTTGGAAAAAAAATTCATTGAAAAAAAAATTAATTAAAAAAAATTGTTAGTAACTTTTAATTTTTTAAACGAAATTATTTTTTTTAAAATATTATTTTTTAAACGAAATTATTTTTAAAAATTGTTTTTTTATTTTTTATTTCTTAACCAAATTAATTTTTAATTTTTAAAAGAAATTTCTAAAAATCAAATCATACATAGCCTAAGAATCTTTTGATAAATCATTTCTTATATTGGTAACTTATTTAATTATTTGTTAATTTTACAACATTTTTACCATCTGAAACATGTTTGGTAATTATTTCGTTTTCAGTTTTCAATTTATATTTATAAAAATTTTAAAAACTGTCATAAAAACTTATTTGATAATTTTTTTGGTTTATAAATAATTGTCTTAGTTTGTAAATTTGAAAAAAAAACGTAAATTCAAAAAATGAGTTTACGTTGGTTTTTAAACAAAAATTTAAAAAATTTACTAACAAATTTTTTTTTCAATTAATTTTTTTCCAATGGTTTTTTTTTTCAATGAAATTTTTTTTCCAACTAATACTAACCGAGGGAGCAATTGGTAATATTACTTTAAACCTTAGAGAGAGGATTGTAATTTTTAAAATGTGAGTGGTGTCAATGTAATTTACCTAATAAGAGTAAAATTAGTATTTAAAAAAATTAAAAAGGCTAAAAGAAGAATTTATAATTAAACTTTAAACCTCAAAAAAAGATATAACTTTTAAAAAATAAAAAAAAATTATAATAAATATAAACGTCAAGAGTGTCCTCCTTTAAGATAAGCAATGTGAGAGAGGCGACATCCCGGGAAAGGAAACTCCTCGTGACAGATGCTGGGCCACAATCCAGTCCTCTCGTTAGCCCAAACCAAACGCGTTGTTTAATAAACGAAAAAAAAAAAAGGCGGGCTAGGAGAGCTTTAAATTCAACTATTCACTTCTAATTCAAATCATATCTCTCTCTCTCTCTCTCTCCATTTCTGTTTCTCTCTCTAAACAGTTGAGGTGAGGTGAGGTGAGGTGAGGTGAGGTGAGATGCAGAGAGGAACTGAAGTCTCTGTGGGGACGAAAATGGAGGAGCTAAGGTTAGTATGCGACAGAGAGATTACGATTCAGCAGCACAGAATTGACGCCGCCATTTCCTTTTTCCGGAAATCGCTTCAGTCTACGAAAGCCAAGGCACAGGAAACTATTCAAATTCAAGGTAATGTTCGCTCCCAAATTTTCAATTATGGTGTCACCGAAGAGTCAGATCTAGGGTTTTATTGAACATTTTTACATGGTTTGGTGTTTTGAATTTGAAATTAGGGTTTTGCTGATCGAATACTGTGTTTTGAATGTGATATTGTTTTTGGGTATTTTTGTTCACGGAAATCAAACACTAATGTACTTTTGAGTAATGCTATACAGTTATACAAACTATTCTTAATCACATGAGTTGTGTCTATCTTATTATTTTAAATGCTAATGTTCCATGACTGCATGCCACATCCTATGAGTATGAAAAATTAATCAAATTTGTTAATTTGTATAATACTAGTGGTATTTTTTTATTTTGATTTTAAAGTATATATGTTGTGTGTTGTTGGTAAAGATGGGATCAGTGAGAGGGTCACGTGGATCAAGGATCGTAAGAGTATACTTTCTATTAAAAATAAAGTAAAAATACAAATTAAAATCTATGTTACATGGACTCGTCACTTTGGGGCGAAGTACCCGTGTCGACACGACACGACACGACACGGGTGCGGGTGTGAGATCTGTGTCGGATTCGCCTCGTCTCTCTCGGACACGGCACTTTACAGACAGCAAAGAAATGGAAGAGGAGAAAGGAAGAGCAAAACCTGGTCATTGTTGGCTTCGATCATCGATCACGATTAGGGCTCTCACTATTGATCACGATCGTCTTCGTCTAGGGCTTCGATCACTGTCGATCTCGACCTCGAGCTCGATCGTCTTCGTCTCTCTCTTCGTTTCTGCTTCTCTCTCTCTTCGTCTCGTCTCTGCTTCTCTCTCTCTCTCGTCTCTCAATCTGTTCTCTCTCTTAGCCTCTGTTTTAATGATCATATATATTGATCATATATAATTTATATAATTTATCATATATAATAATAATTTTTATAAATTATTATTCATATTACATTTACATTAATATATAATATATAGTATAAATTACATTAACATAATAATATGTAATATTATTCATCTAAAAAAAAATTATATAATACAATAGATATTATATAAATTATATAGATATTATATAATAATTATTGTATAACATATAAGATATTTATAAGATAATATATACTTATATATATTAATAAAAATAAATAAACACATATATGTAAAATAATTATTTGTTATTTATATAATATAACTCATCTTAATAACTATATTTAAAATATATATATATATATATTTAACGTATCCCCGTACCCGTATCCAAATTTAGATACATATCCACGTATCCTTAATTTTTAATTTTAAAGTGTCCGACCCCTAGATACGCACCCACACCCGATCCTCGTACCCGCGTCCGTGTAACTTAGATTAAAATGATCCATATTAAAAATAAGGTTAAAAATCATAAATCACACGATCCTACCTACGATCCTACTTGTGATCCTTCTATGACATTGATCCTACAACGATTTGGATTGTTTTAACAATCATAGGATCGTATGATCCTACGATTTGGATCGCGATTTTAATAACCATGATCTTAGACCAAAGGGCTTGGTTCAAGCCCTATTCACCTCACTATATAATTTTGTATTTTAAATAACTGTTATAGGGGTATTTTGGAAAAATCCAAAATATGAGGCATAGATACCATGGGAAGCCTTCATTTTATAATAGTATGGATAGATAGATTCGTTTGGGATCTAGGTTGGCTTTTTGGCTATTTTAGTTTGTCTCGTTTGGGATGGACTTTTGGGCATTTTTAACTTTTGTAAGAGAAAAAATGAAATGATTATGGTTTGGATGTGAATTTTTTAGCCTGGGGCTAAAATGCCTATTTTATCTTTTTGTAACTATTTTAGTTCCAACCCACCCCAACCTATCTTCCTAAACAATGACATATATTTTCCATGTACTTAATATTAACATTAATTGGACTATTTAAGAGGTTCAAACATTTCGAGTAGCCCATGTTGTGCGGTATTATACGGTGAAAAAATATTGAGTTTGTTATAAATTTTTATTCCATTTTTTTTTTCCTTTTTAGCAAAACTAGGAAAGCTAAAAGGTGAGCTGAGAGAGGCGGAGGATCATTTGGTGAAAGCTCTAGCAGGTATTTCTTGCAATTGGTGTACTTTTATCTCCGTAATGATGTTCATTGATTTTTTTCCTTTGTTCGTTTTAGTTTATGTTAAGTTTAATTGGCAGTATTGTGGGTAGCTTATAGATTAAAATATTTTCAAACTAAAATGTTTTATTGCGTTACACTGGTTTTGTTTAATAGAGTTTGACTTTCTCTGTGCTATTAAGGTAATGAAATCATAGAATTTCCTATCTCAATCATGTTTATAAATCACAATATCAGCATGCATAACGATCGTGGTCACATTGTTATGACATTAGGAGTATTAGCTAATGCATAGCGGGAATATAAAACTGAACAAAGCTCATTTTATTTTCCTTTTATGTGAATCTTAGTGGTTAGAAATTAGAATATTTTGATTTTAGCATATCATCCTTGATGATGAACATGAGCTTTCTTAAATTATGCTTGGTTTTTTCTACTGCTTTTATAGCGAAGACTCGTAAAGAGGCAAAGCAGATGGCCATGACAGAGTCCATATCTGCTACAAGAGCTAGAATAGAAGAGCTTAAAAGAATTGTGGAAGATCAAAACACTAGGAAGGATGAGTACACAAAGATAATATCTCAGCAATTTGAAGGTATTTTCGGTTTCATTTCTTTTTACTACTTGGTCTTTTTTGTAGATCATTCATTGAAATTTTATAGTTGGTCTATTACATAGATTATTTATTAAAATTATGTGCTATTATTGTCATTTTTTAAGGGGCTTTAGGCTTCTTATTAAATTGAAAGAAACCAGTATCGATATTTTTGAAGTAAGAGTATCCACTAAAGGGGGTGCACCTGATGTGTAGCAGAGTATTCAAAAGCCACCCAAATGCCTTAAATCCTATTAGGATTTGTATCCCCTAAAAATCAGAAAAATAAACTAAAAAAAGCATCACAAAGGACATCAATACTGTTTTCAAATTGAAACTGTTATTTGGACTTATTTGGCCATTGACTATCTTATTTATATGAGCAAATAATTATTTATGTGGCAATATCAATAAAAACTTTTGAAGGTTTGGGTGGGTGGATGGTGGAAATGGAGTCTTATAATCATATAGTGATGTCCTGAATTTCGCTTTGGTGGGAAAAGGTTTGAGGGAAAGGTACGGATTTCAGAGTAGGTGTTGTTCGTTTTTGACATCTTATGTTGTTCTCATTTGGAGTAGTCACAAAAAAAATTTTGGGAGTGTTGAGGAACTTTTTCTTTTGGATAATCTCTGCCTTTCATACTTAAGTAGGTCAATAACATTGTATATAGTTCTCTTATTGGAGCAGCAAAGATGACCCTTTTAAAGATTTTCCATTTCGAGCAATCTTATGTAAATTGCTCATCTTTTTTGTTTGCAAATGATACAATTTCTTTTGTTTAGGCTTTAGGAAAATGCTTGAGTTAAAATCTGGAATAGTGATTTCTTGGATTTCACATCATAGTCTTTAGTTTGGCCCATCTTGATCTACGACTGCTTAAATCCCTTACTATGAATCCTGAAATTTTCCAACTCTTGGCTTCCCAACAGGGTTTGGCAGGTTGTAGTGCTATGTTTATTCAATAAGCATTACCCTCTGAACATATGTGTCGTTTCTAAGTTCAAATTTCCAATTTGAGCCACTGACATGATTGAAATTTGAAATAGAGTTCATGGTGTTAAGGGTGTGTTCTAAGTTTTTGATTGGTTTGCCATAGTTTGGTTTGACCACTAAAGCTTTTGTTTTATTTTTGGTGCATGGTGGCTTGGAAATTGCTTAGAAAGCCTAATGTAATAGCAATTATTGACACACATGACTTGTTAAAGTAAATGTGCTTTGCACCTTATTGGTTGGAACTCTGATCAGCAAATGGAACACGATGTCCCTTGGAAATGCATCTGCAATCCCTCACATTTAATACATTACTGGTTTTTGATTCTATGAATGAAATATGGGAAAACTTTGGCCAAGTTGTTGCATAAAAATATTTTGTTCTACTTTTGCTTTGGCATTGTCCTCATTGACTGAAACATTTTATCCCTCTTTCACTGTGTGTGACTGATCTGTTTTCACATTATAAGCATGGATTAGTAACAATGTTCATTGGACATGTAGATAAGGGAGTTTATGTCATTGGAAGAGTTCCTCTAGATTTCTGCATCTTACATTGCCTTGAACATCACAATTGAATTGGTTTTGAAGTGTATTCCTAACAGCTATTTTTGTTTAATATGCTTATATTTTCATTTGGTGCTATTCTTTTAACTACAACTGTCACATCTGGCACCTTTATTGTGTTGTATTGCACCTATTCGTCTTTCCAATGTAGTCTTGCCTTGAGATCTTTTTGGCTTTGCTAGGTAGGTCATATGCCTTATATGTGTCGGATATGGTTTTATTTGTGTTCTTGTAAGCTCATGCCTACGATTGGACGTTGCTTTTGAAACCTTTCATTTGCCGTATTTTGTAAAGCATTGTGTTTGTGGGTTAGACATTAGAAGTGCAATAGTTGTTGCATATACTTAGGAATGTGTTACATATGGTTTTGGTGTTGCCTAAAGGTGCAGCATGGGACATTGAATTATTAAGGCTTCGTTTGGGAACAATTTATTTTATTAACTTTTTGATTTTTTAGCTAAAATATGAGGTAAAAAAATTAGTATGTTTGGGATGATTGTTTGGTTTTTTACGAAAAGATGTGCGAAAAGTAGAGAGAAAAGGAAAACTTTGACTTTTTGGTATAGGTTGTTGGCTTTTTGATTTTTTAGTGACTTTTTGAATTTTAGGCTAAAAAGTGATGTTGTCAAATGAGGCAGTGTAATATTATGTTATGTTGATTCTTTGGTTGGTTGAAATATTAGGCACGACGAGGATATTTTCTGTTTGAGTTGTCCATATGTTCCTAGGTTGACTTGTTACATCTGTTGTGATCTTTATGGTAGTAGAGGGAAAGAAATTTATTTTTTTAACCCTTTATATATTGGTGGTGTTTGGGAAGAGCTTTTTTGGTTAAAATAGCACTAAAAGACAAAATAGGCTAAAATAGCCAATAAGACAAAATGTTACATCAAATCCATAATCGTTTCACATTTTCTCTTACAAACATTACATCCAATTACAAAAAAATCCAACTATCTTCCCAAACACAAAATTTAGCCTCCTAAAATAGCCAAAAACTAAAATAACCTACTAAAATAGCAACTTCCCAAACACTCACATTGTGATTTTGGTTTCTTTCTGCTTTTGCTTTTTATTTTTGGAGGCTAGATTTGCATTTCAGTTCCACGCATTTCTTAGTTCATTCATATGCTCCATTTTTTGAATGAACCTGCTTGGATTAAGTAAATCGTGTACTTTCATATACTTGATTGGTGCTCACACTTTTTTTTTTTTTTTGATTTGAATGACACTAAAGAGTTGATCCATGAGTTGAATAGAAGCAATGGTTTATTCAAATTTGTCAGAACTATGAGAGAAAAGTTTCAAGAAGCTGCAGCACATGGTATAACACTTATCTCTTGCATTCTTCTCCTCAGCGGAATGTGTTGAAATTTGAGCATATTGTGGAGGGTTGGCTTCTCTCCAAGAAACGCTTGCATTCTCACATATAGAATTGTCCTTTCTTGACTTGATCACACATGTGGCATTCTCAAGTATAGTGTTGGGCACGGTTATTGTGCATTTATATAATGTTTCTGAGTTATGTATTATTTGTGTTTCACCAGGAAGTTTTCCTCAAGTTACGTCTTGTGATCAAGAGTATTCCACAATCTCTGTTTCTGCTCCAGTTTCTTCAGTTTCAACTGACAGTAGAAGTGAATCTTTGTCAAAGCAAAAAGAACTTCAAGCTGAAGAAACCAACAGACAATACAAGAAAGTTAACCGTGGTCGAGGGGTTAAACCGGCAATTTTGTCTCTTGGATCTGCTTCATCTCTTTGTCGATCTCCACGTTTTAAGGTATTATCAAATCGACAACCTGCTATTATACTTAGTTTTGTGTTTGTAGAAGGTATTATAGGATAAGCATTAGCTGTCAATCACAATAGGAACTGGACTTGCCGTTTTCGATTTTCTAGATAGTAGATCCTATTGTGGGATTAATTTGGCAATGATTAGGATTTTGGTTTCCTTGCAATCTGTCTTTCCTTTTCTCTCTTTGGTCGGGTTGATTTCTGCTAAAAGTGCACAACCCGCCAAGTTTGTTGTTTTTTTGATCAGATTACACACCTACAATGCCTTGCTCTGCAGCTCAATTGCAGCCCTTTGAGTAAAAGTTGCCATGGACACAAAAGGTTAGATAACTTAATATCAACCCTAGCAAGGCGAAAGCTAGAATTTCATTGAAGTATATCTTACTACTTTGAAAATTATATCTTGGTTGGAGATTAAATGTTTATTTTTTCCTTTGATCATATTGATGGATAAAAAATAACAAAGTGAAGGAGTCATTTAAATTATCCTATTGAGGATTTTAGTTGCATCTGTAATCTAAACAGATGCTATCTCTCTGAGGTCCAGGTTTCTCTTGTTACAGTCCCTATAAAAACTACAATTGCCAATCTTTCTGTGATATCAATCCAAATGCAAACTGACAGTCTTGTATATTCCATTTCTATGGACTGCTATGGTACTTTGAAGAAAATAGGATTCTTTTATGTTTACGATTGTCGTAGGTGGTCCTTGTGAATCTATTTTCGTTGAAGTAACCAAAGTGCTTAAATCTACACTTCTTTTGTCATTAACAAGGGAGTTAATGTTATCACTTGCATGTTTACATTCTTTTTCTTTTGTGTCTGGCATAATCCGAGTTCATTATTCCTAGAGACAGAAACTTTGATTGATGGATGAAGTTTTTGATTGAAGAGGTGGAATTATTTTGCAGGCTAAGAAGTGAAGATGAAACAGAAACCACTTCCTCTTCCAATCTAATGGACTGCATGTGTGAACCTCCTCACATTTTATTGTTGAAATGTTAGGCAAAGAAAAAAACTCATTTGCTGATTTATATTACTGAGGCGTCTTAACAGAGATTGGGAAATCTAAAGAAATCAAGTGATGCAGTTCACCTGACACAACATCCTCACTCGGTTTGCTAGCTATGACTTACCATGCTCTTCTCACATTTTAGTTCAACTTGGAATGGAGAACACCAGTGATAATCCCATGCCTTGTATAATTTAATGCTAATGTTATCTTGTATTTTTCTGATCATGATTGTAAATTATGCTATAAAGTTTATTTTAATCTATAGCCCGGCATGAAGAATGTATTGTAGATCATGTTTCAGTTGCTGAAGTTCTCTTATGCTGCATTTAGTTGAACACTGATGGATAATTGCATTATGTCAGCATTAAATATTTTTTTGGATCTTAATTCTGCTGGGTTTGTGTCAAGGGTTTGTTTGGGAAGTGATTTTTTTGACTAGAATATGAGGTGAAAAAAATTGAAATGTTTGTGTTTCTATCGACAAAGCGAATTCATGTAGAAAAATAAGAAATGAAGATCTTTCCTCACAACTATGTAACGGAGAGGATCATGATCTAAAACAAATCAATCTTTAATGGACTTGTACATTGAAACGAGTAATAATAATGGTGGAAGGATGATATTTATTTATAATCTCTTTTGTCATGATTGTATTGGGTTAATCAATTTTGTTACTCATGACTGTTACATGGAGATAATATATAAAATGTGATGAATAAATACGGTCTTCGTAACATTATTGAACGACTAAGCTTGGATAATGAACATGGATGAGATCGAAAAATTATTGCTTGTTCTTGGAGCAATATTCCATGTCAATTATCAAAGGAAACCTCTTTATATATGGGCTAAAACACAAGCAAAATTGGTGAACTCTAATGTTCAAACCAATCTCTATCAATATTTATTTCCATAAGAACATCCAATAACTTCTCAATGAGAGACAATTTTTTCTTTAAATTTTTATTTATAACATTGAATACCACAAATGCCCAAAGAGGGAGATACGTAAATGTTTACAATTCTGTTATTCAAAATATAGCTCCTCAAGTGGAGGAACAATATTTTAGGGACAATGCTGACAGGGTAGGCTCTTTATTTTCATGTACCATAGTGTATATATACCTTCTCTAGAAGTAGATATATGCGACATAATTATTACATGTATATGTATGACTACAATTATTTTTTTTTTTTAAACACAAAAATAACTAATCACAAAATCAAACATAACTCTCTCATATGAGGTGGGTCTCAGTCTTATGCGGCCAAAAGCTCGGACAGTTGTAAAGTTTGGGGAGATGCCTTTGCCTCAATCGTGGCATTGCAACGTGTACCCTAATACACTTCTTGTGGCAACAGGCACACATGACAAAACGTAACAATTTATTAGCACTATTTGTCATGTTGTGTCCAGTTAGCTGAAAGCAATGTTGGGGAAGAGTAACCTTATTTGTTTTACGGCTTGGAAATAGCTCAGTAAGAGCTAGGCCTAATAGTAACCCATCTTGTATGAGAAGGTTATGTAGAGTTCTGTAATTGATTTTTATGTTTCTATTAAGTTACTGGTTGACGTAATCGTGTACGGATCAGTGCACGGGTCTGCTTCCAGAGCATGTGGGCTTGAGATTCATCATTTGCAAGGGCTGAACAGTTGCTTTCATTGCAATCTGCAAAGTACTTCCCACTCACTCCTTCTGTTTGTTGGCTTAGTGCAACATAGCAGGTTGTTGATGCACCCTGCCCAAAAAATATCATCCAAATGTCACAATGAGAACAAATAGTCAGTTTACAAATAATATTAATAAAAAAAAAAAACATTTATTCTACGTGCATAAAATGATGTACAATTCTTTTATATGGGATGAAAGTTATATATTTAATGAATTTTTCTCACCACATGAAAAGGGTTGTGTCCAGTTCTGTGTTTTTAAAATTGGGTATTTAGGCTAAAAGTACACCTTTGAAACTATTGAGTCAATAGGTCTAAGTTTAAATCTTTTTGGGTTAAAAAGACATTTTCTATCTGAAAAGATATCTATTTGTCAAAAAGTAACCTATATAATCACTTATTTCCAATGTTATCTATCTGTCCAATAAAGCTCATTATTTGTTTATAAGGACATTGTTTGTCTATGTAACCTATATGCCTAAATGTCACATATCTATGCATGTGTCACTTATATAATTGCTTATTTGTCCAATGTTATCTATCTGTCCACCTTATCACTACTAGTCGTTGTTGTCTGTTGTTAAACTTTAGACCAAACGCGTGGTCTCATAAATTTAGACTTTTCATCAATTAACCCTTTAAAATTTTTCAATAAAAACAAAAATCGAATGGGCTGCTTTACCATATTTGTACAAATAGAATAACTCTGAGCTCGGATTACTTAGAAGGGGTCATCAAAAGTATGAACTATTGATTACAAGAAGGGGTCTTAGTTTCTCCCATTGTATGGCTTTTGGTTGGCACGTTGTTTTTTTTTTGATAACGCAGGTATCCCCAATCCTCTAGTTTTTCGGGAAGTCAGGACTAATCCTGCGGGGTAAGTAACCCGGGGAACCCGTGTACCCCTTTCAAACTGCTGCAAGCACTCACTCAGTGAGGAATCGAACCCGTGACCGTGTGCCTTACCCACACAGTCACGTGTGCGCCCTTACCATTTTTGTTGGCACGTTGTTAATGGGTTCTTAGTAGATAGTTGCCTGGTCTTTGCACATGATTGGCTCATAATTTTATTGGATAAAGCAAATGATGCTTTAATTTTTTGTATCAATAAATTTTTTTTTTTTTGATTGATAAAAAGAGAAAGAAGAAGAGAATAGCCCACATAATTAAACCATAAAAAATGCTATAATAACATGATTTTTCTCTATAAAATTTATATATACTGATATAGAAATAATATTTTTGTAATTTTGAAGTAAAATTATGGATGTTTTTCTTGAAATGAAAGGATTGCAAAAAGACACATCATTTTGTATAAATTTTTACAATTGTGCTAGGGATCCCACACATACATGACCCTACAACCCCCATTCCCATCCCAACCACTCATAATGTGGGGTCCACACGTACATGAGTGGATCCCACACACACATCAAAGGCCAAGATTAAATTGGAGGTCATGGAACCGCAAAAAAGGGGGTCCCAAACATTTTTGAAATTTTAATGTATAAAAAATATGTTTGTATAGCATTATTGTTTTAACAAGTGTAGGGACATATTACCAAACATAGCAAATAGTTCTAGTTATACACATCAGATGGCAAGACCTGCTATTAAAGAGACCATTTCACTCTGATTGTGTTAACTATTTATTTATTTTTTTTCTCTGGTTGATTTTGTGATTAGTTTTGCGTTTTTAGACTTATTAATATTATTTTCATGGGTTTTATTGGGCTAATGTGCATTTTTTAAAATATATTTTTGTTACGTTTAATTTTCTACATGTAGTAGACCAAGTCCAGAAGAAAAAGTAGATAAACAATTTTTTCGTTGCAACTGAATAATTTTTTTCATAATTTACATGCATAAGTAGACAAATTATACCTGGGGTGTTGTTTTTAGTAGTTTGGATGTGAGGAAAAACACAGAATCTGCAAAAAAATTGGAGCAGAAAGATCAGAATTTTATTTTCATCTTTCATCTCCAAAAAAGAATTCAGAGTTTTAATGATGGAAATAAATACATGCCTGTGACGAATCCTTTGTGGTCTCTGATGATGCCAGTCTTCACAATTCCTGGGTGTACTGCATTCATGGTTACTCTTGCATTTCTTGCCTGTAAAAACAAAGACACTTTTCACTGAGACAAAATCAAAAGATAGAAAACATTATCCTTTTTTTTTAATGTTTTTGTTTTACATGCTTTCATTTTTTTTAAAGACAAAAAATTATAATTGGTTCACCTTGTCATCCAATCCTAAGTGTTGAACGCGCACAATCACTTGTATCAGTTAAGTTACAGGTCGTGTTGGTTTTGCTCCGTAAGTGATGGGAATAGATTAGCAATCCGGTAGGCTCACATAAATGATGTTTGGTTGTCAAAAATGCCACAACATTTAAAAAAATTAAAAAAAAAATATATATATATATATATATATTTTACCTTAAGCTGTCTTGCGATTTCCTTGGTATGCAATATGTTGGCTAGTTTGGATTGAGCGTATGCATCAGTGCCGTTATAGCTGCATTCATGAAACCCAAAAAGAAAAAAAATTAATATGATGTGAATCGCACGGAAAATAAATATGATCTAAGCATATGACACTACAACAAAATGCACCTTTGGCGACCAAAATTAGCGACTAAAAAAAATTTAGTCGCCAAATGTTATGGAATTGGCGACTAAAATTTTTTTTAGTCGCCAAAAGTAAAATATTTAGCTACTAATTTTTTTTAGTCGGGGTATATTCATTATTGGCGAATGAAAAAAAATTTAGTCGCTAAAAATGCAAGAATTGGCGACAAAAAAAAAAATAGTCGATGTATATTGACTTTTGGCTACTAAAATATTTAGTCGCCGAATGAGAAATAAAAAATTATTTAGTCGCTGTATATTTTAGTCGCCAAAAACTTACTTTTAGTGACAAAAAAAACTTTAGTCGCCGTATATTGATTTTTGGCTACTAAAATATTTAGTCGCCGAATGTAAAATAAAAAAAATTATTTTTTCTCTTTGGCGACTAAAGTTTTAGCCGCCAAAAACTTACTTTCAGCGACAAAAAAAAATATTTAGTTGCTGTATGTTGATTTTTGGCTACTAAAATCATTTAGTGGCCGAATAGAAATAAAAAAATATTTTTTTATCTTTGGCGACCAAAAATTTGGTGGCTAAAAACCTACTTTCAGCGACAAAAATCAATTTTAGTAGCCAAAAAATAAAATATTTGGAGGGATTTTTCAAATTTTGGAGGGTTTTATAAACTAATTGACGACTAAATTTTAGTCGCTAATGGTGTAATATATATATATATATATATCCAAACAACAAACCAGCACCTGTGTGTGTCTCTCTCTCCAGCATTTCTTTCTCTCTCTCGCCCTCTCTTCCTCTACCTTTTTCTCTCTCCCTCTGCCTCTCCCACTCTGTTGCTCCTCTCCCCTCCCTCTCTCACCGCCGCTCCACCAGCCGCGCCTCCGCCGCTCCTCCTCGCGATCGTAGGCAACCGGACCACCGATTCACCTAGATTTGCCCTATTTTCTCTCTCTGAAATCTCTCTATATTTGTATATCTGTCTATCTATCAACGGCGAGACCGATGTATGTATATATATATGTGTGTGTGTGTGTGGATTTGTATGTGATTCCAGGACACTCCATCAGCTAGGAAGCGCTATCTCTAGGGCGTCCAGCACCAGCGATCCAAAGTCTCTGGTACAATAATAATTCCTTATGAGGTTCTCTCTCTCTCTCTCTCCCCCCAAAACCCTAACACATTTACAAACACATACATACATATGCATATAATAATATATCTATTTTGCTGCATATAATCATCAATTAATCATATAATTCCGACTTCACTCTCTTTAAATTGATCGCATATATATATATTTTTTGTAATAAGCAGATGCCAATCAACAGTTTCATTCAGACTCCTTTGGGAGAGGACTCTGCAATCGCTTCCTCAGAATGGTACTCTTTTTTTTTTTCCCCCTTTTGGTTTAATTTAATTACACTTTTTACGTTTGTAGTTTCATCCAAATTTTAATTTGGACCCTACTGTAGTTTCAATTAGGTCATTCTGTCCAAATTATTGGTTAAAATTAATAATTTTGGAACACTTGTGAATTTTCTAAGGTGTATACATGGTCAAAATTAACACAAATTTGGACGGAAGGAACAAATTGAAGTTGGACTTCCAAGTTTAGAGACCAAATTGTTCAAATTGAAACAAGAGGAACTGAAGTAAAAATGCTATATTTATTTTTAAAAGAGGTTTGATGCCATTTAAATAATATTTTATATTTTTTAAAAAATGCTATATTTATAAAATATTTAAAAAAAAAATCAAAATTTTTATTCATTACTACTTAAACATTATTTTTTCAATTTGGTGAAAAAAAAAGAAAAATTAGAGTACAATACATATTTAAAAATAAAATGACAATACATAAATATCATAATAAATCACATGCTATGATTGCCTCCTGAAAATGCCATGGATGTTCAACCAAATCTCTGCATTATACTATTAAAAAACAATTTAGTCAAAAGGAAGATGCTTCAGAAAATGAGGTCTACTACTGTTTTTATAGCCGTGAATTGTCTAAATTTGTTAACTTCAGAAAACACATAAGCTAGGCTGTGGTCTGGTTTCCTTTATCATACTTTTGTACCTCTATGATCATGGTTCCTTTGTTAGATGCATTGATGGTGATGATCTCATGACATGAAATTCCATCTCCATTGTTATCTTGATCCATTGTTTGCTTAGCCGGTGCTGTTTGGTTGTTTGCTTATCTTGAAATTCCATCTCCATTATTACTCCTTGAATGTAATAAGTGAGTCTCGAGCAAACTATGCCCTGGATATGTACATTTTAAAACAAAGAGCTGTAGAATATTACCATTTTTGGCAAAAGCTAGTTCTCCCATGTCATGAGAACAAATCCTCTATTTTACATCCTTGTGTATAGTAGTTTCATTTTTTTTTTTTCTTTCTAGAAAGGTCTAATTCATGTTGTAGTTTTGTGAAGAAACATCAATTCATATTGAAGTGAACATAAGCTTTGATGGGACTGCTATGAATTAGGGCCCTCTAGAAGGGAGTTGGGTTGATTTAGAGAATATGGCTACAATGAAGTTGGAATTTAGTGAAAAACAGTCATTAATGTACTGCATATATTTAATTTTCTTATCCCTGGTTAACATTAAGAAAGAAAATTTTGTTTTCCCATTTAGTCTCCTTACACTATAAAGAGCTGTCAGAAGTTTGGTGTACCAGCTTATAGACCAGACGCTAGCATTTCCTCTCTCCATTATAAGCGCCACTATGGCCCCCTAAGCTGTTCCTAATAGGCATATCCAAGCAGTGAGGGAGAGCTCAGCGGGATATGTCTTTAGCGTGATTGCTTAGAGAAACAGAAACAAATATAATTATGATCTTAGATAAAAATTAATTGTCCATATCAAAACAGTCTCTGAACCACCGTGTTACTCATACGGACAGTTTCTCCATGACAAATAGATAGAAATCTAATGAAAAAAATAAAAAAAAATTCAAAAGGGTCACCTAACTTTTCCTCCAATTTATTGAACTAACCATGCTACCTCAGAAAGGTCACCTACTGTGGCGCAACTACACAAAAGTTAGATGCATAATATGACTAAAAAGGGTCTGCATGATTTCCAAATATATGGGCAGGGAAATGACATATGGTATCAGAGTCTCAGGTGGAATGAAAATTTAACAAAGAGAAAAGGACATATGATAGACAGAAACCAGTGAAACCATTGTCTGCAGCACTAAACCTGTAAGGAGCTACAATCCATACAAACAATTATTTGCCATACTCGTTAGAGTAAAATATATATATCTTAATAATCACATGGCTTCTTCCCATTGAAACAGCAATCTTACGTCATTCCCATCTTGAAATCAACATTCGAAAAAGAATTAATACACCTCTAATACGCCCTAATTAATGGATACAAGCAAGATTCAATACGTTTAAGCATCTGATATGCCTCCTCTCTATCTCTCTAATGGGTCCTAATGAATAAATGCATATGTTATAACAAAAAATTGAGAGTTTGATGATTTAATGCAAACATGAGACAAATTACTGATGATCAATTCAACCAATTAAAGACATTTGGTGATATTGAACGCACAAGCAATGCCAGCAACAGTTGACTCCACCAGTCTTGTTCTGACTGTTGCATTACACACCTACACAACTAACCCATTTAAAAAGAGGTGAACTTGAATTGAAAAGTGTTGTCAGTTATCAAATATCAAAGAAATGATGTTTGAAAAGAGCAACCTCCCCACCCCCATCTACCATCGCCATCTCAGAACAAGTCAACAAAAACCAACCCTGTTATTCAACGGCTGTTGGGAAAAGAAAATTATAAAAGTCAATGGTCCCTTAGCCTCCTAAAAGATGCCCACCATATTTTTTTTAATGTCAGCAATACCCCATATTATTATTATTATTATTATTTTAAAAAAGATCTAAAATCATATGAAATTATAGTAAATAATGACGAAGCTGTTCTTCTGTGGTTAATGTTGTATGTCAAAAGTGATCCTTAATAGAAACCTGTTGGAAATTCCACCAAAAATTTGTAAATAAAGTACACTGCAACAGAAAAATTCACTTAAAACAAAAACTCACGCATGGAAAATAGTAGACAAGCCCCAATCTAAACTATTTTGCACTAATCTTTAGGTTGGAGTTTGAATTTTTTTTTTTTTTTTTTTCATTAAATTTCTATCTATTTGTCATGGGGAAACTGTCCGTGTGAGTAACACGGTGGTTCGGGAGCTGTTTTGATATGGATAGTTAATTTTATCTGAGATCATAATTATATTTGTTTCTGTTTCTCTAAGCAATCACGCTAAAGACATATCCTGCTGAGCTCTCCCTCACTGCTTGGATATGCCTATTAGGAACAACTCAGGGGGCCATAGTGGTGCTTATAATGGAGAGAGGAAATGCTAGCGTCTGGTCTATAAGCTGGGACACCAAACTTCTGACAGCTCTTTACAGTGTAAGGAGACTAAATGGAAAAACAAAATTTTCTTTCTTAATGTTAACCAGGGATAAGAAAATCAAATATATGCAGTACATTAATGACTGTTTTTCACTAAATCCCAACTTCAATGTAGCCATATTCTCTAAATCAACCCAACTCCCTTCTAGAGGTCCCTAATTCATAGCAGTCCCATCAAAGCTTCTGTTCACTTCAATATGAATTGATGTTTCTTCACAAAACTACAACATGAATTAGACCTTTCTAGAAAAAAAAAAAAAAAAATGAAACTACTATACACAAGGATGTAAAATAGAGGATTTGTTCTCATGACATGGGAGAACTAGCTTTTGCCAAAAATGGTAATATTCTACAGCTCTTTGTTTTAAAATGTACATATGCAGGGCATAGTTTGCTCGAGACTCACTTATTACATTCAAGGAGTAATAATGGAGATGGAATTTCAAGATAAGCAAACAACCAAACAGCACCAGCTAAGCAAACAATGGATCAAGATAACAATGGAGATGGAATTTCATGTCATGAGATCATCACCATCAATGCATCTAACAAAGGAACCATGACCATAGAGGTACAAAAGTCTGATAAAGGAAACCAGACCACAGCCTAGCATACGTGTTTTCTAAAGTTAACAAGTTCAGACAATTCACAGCTATAAAAACAGTAGTAGACCTCATTTTTTGAAGCATCTTCCTTTTGAATAAATTGTTTTTTAATAGTATAATGCAGAGATTTGGTTGAACATTTGTGGCATTTTTAGGAGGCAATCATAGCATGTGGTTTATTATGATATTTATGTATTGTCATTTTATTTTTAAATATGTATTGTACTCTAATTTTTCTTTTTTTTTTCACCAAATTGAAAAAATAATGTTTAATAAATAAAAATTTTGAATTTTTTGCAAAAAATATTTTTATAAATATATCATTTTTTTTAAATATAAAATATTTATATGGCATCAAACCTCTTTTAAAAATAAATATATCATTTTTACTTCAGTTCCTCTTGTTTCAATTTGAACAATTTGGTCTCTAAACTTGGAAGTCCAACTTCAATTTGTTCCTTCCGTCCAAATTTGTGTTAATTTTGACCATGTATACACCTTAGAAAATTCACAAGTGTTCCAAAATTATTAATTTTAACCAATAATTTGGACAGAATGACCTAATTGAAACTACAGTAGGGTCCAAATTGAAATTTGGATGAAACTACAGGCGTAAAAAGTGTAATTAAATTAAACCAAAAGGGAAAAAAAAAAAAGAGTATCATTCTGAGGAAGCAATTGCAGAGTCCTCTCCAAAAGGAGTCTGAATGAAACTGTTGATTGGTATTTGCTTATTACAAAAAATATATATACAATCAATTTGAAGAGAGTGAAGTCGGAATTATATGATTAATTGATGATTATATGCAGAAGAATAGATATATTATTATATGCATATGTATGTTTGTGTTTGTAAATGTGTTAGGGTTTTGGGGAGAGAGAGAGAGAGAACCTTGTAAGGAATTATTATTGTACCAGAGAGCTTTGGATCGCTGGTGCTGGATGCCCTGGAGATGGCGCTTCCTAGCTGATGGAGTGTCTTGGAATCACATACAAATCCATACACACACATATATATACATACATCGGTCTCGCCGTTGATGGATAGACAGATATATGAATATAGAGAGATTTCAGAGAGAGAAAATAGGGCAAATCTAGGTGAATCGGTGGTCCGGTTGCCCGCGACC